ATAAATATATGAAAAAATTCATTTATTTGTATAAAGAAGCCGAATAAAAAAAAATTTTTTTAATTGAAAAGGTAATTAGCTATAAAAATTAAATAAAATATGAAATTGAATTAACAAGTTTTATATTTTAAATACATAAATTATTTTTTAAAGTTCTAGAGTTCAAAATAAATTTTAAAAATATTTATAAAATATGTATGTCTATATGAATATCATTAGAATTATTATATATACCTATAAATAATATATTACTTATTTCAATTTAAAAAAGATCACTCTAAAACGTTACACATTTCATATGCCAGCCAACACTCGCCTAGGGTATTTCAACAATAGCTTGGAATTGCTCACGCACACAGCTCCAATTGGAGGCGCACGTAGACCAAACTCTAACCAGTCCGCCGTGCCGGACTGGACCGGAGCGGAATTGATGCGCAGCGCGGCGCGGCGCAAGCTTTTCGACAATCCTATAAGTAGACTAAGAAGCGCTGCGATCGCGTTTAGTGCGTCGCGTTTGCTCTACGAGGCAGCTGGCAAAAGCGGAGCTACGACTTTCGGTTTCTATTGGCCAACGAGTTTGCAAGTTAGCGTGACGCTTTGATGTTTTAAGTGGAAGTGGAAGTGCCACACCAAGTGAGTGAAGTTACCAGTAAAACATATTCATATACATATATATAAATATATCTATCATATATGAGTGTGCGTGTGTGTGTTTGTGTGAAAATGACAATAGGAAATCGCAACCGGGGTTTAGCTTAAAGAAAAGATAAATTGAACACAAATGCTGTAAGCGTTGACAAGTGGAGCCAAATTTGAAAGCTGGCAAAGACCATAAAAAGGCCGCCTAAAACTTGGCCAAATGCTGCAACAACAACAACGACGACGTTAACAAAACAAAACTAGTTAAAGTGCAATGCACTTCATACCGCTTGTGAGTTATTTGCCATTGCAAGTGAGGCGTGAAAAGGCAGCTAAAAACGCCAACATTGAAAGGCTTTTGACAAGTGCAGAGCAAACAAATGGAGGCGTGGCAGACACACAGCAGCAGCAGCAGCAGCAGCAGCTGCGGCAACCGTAACGCCTCACCTGCCACACCTCTATACGCATAATTTATAGATCTCAAATTGGATATCAATCGCTCCGCTGTTGCAATGACAAAGCAAAACAAAAATATCCACAAAATATTCAAATGAAAACGAAATCGCCAATACATAAAAGACTTGCTAAAATATTTGATCAAATGTCATAATTTATGCAGTCCGCAACTTTCTACAGACTTTTAGCTGTAAATACTACAATATATATA